ATATTAAATCTAGAATATTTGATTAGGTTTTGAAACCTTTCAATTATTATTTTTCAAGTATTAAAGTTTAATACTCATGGCCGTACCTTGCATGAAATGTACTTGTATCATGTTCTTAAATTAAGTCTTGACATGTTGTATGACATATGTTAATTTGAGATCATTTAGATGAGTTTCAAAATTTAGAGATTTTAATTAAAAGAATTAATTAAAATCCATTCAATGGTTCTATGAGCTTGATTAAGTTTCTAACTAGGTAGTCATGATTTCCTTGACAAGTTCCTTCACGTATATCAATTTGAGAATAATCGGATAAGTTTTGAGGTTTACATTTATTTATTTCCTTTGTATGGAATTTAATTCACATAGTTGTGTGTTGTATGAAATGAACTGTAACTTGATATTGAACTTGCCCTTGACATGATTCTTGACATGCCTTGTTCGTAGAACATTAGGACTTGCCTTGTAATCTTGATAATTTAATCATTTAAGTAGATTAAATCTTCCTTTTATGTTTCCATCGATTTAATCATGACCCCTTGTATCTTGGTTTCATTAATGTACTTCATAGACTCATACAATTGTCTTGGAATGGTTTAATTACACATGTGTTGATTAGTAGGTAATTGAATCATGTATCTTATACTTGTGGTATACTTATTTCAATGGATTTCTTGTGCTATATATCTTGGTTCTAGTCTATATAGATGCACACTGTGATTTCTTGACATTTCACATACCATCATAGTTGATGAACTTAGGGCATGACTTGTGTGTTCCAAAATCTTGGTTGTGTATGAAATGTGGTTAATGCATTTCTTGTATTTTGATATAATCTTGACTTGCACAACATGTTGATTTTGGGACTTGGGATATCAATCAAGAATTGACATGGCTAGGACTTGGTTCTAGTACGGGGGAATGCCCCTCTACACTATAGTGTGCACTAGGGGAAAGGTACCCATGGGTTAGTATCCCTAAAGTGATCTCAAGAGTACGGTTTTAATCCGGGCGATATCCGAGTTTCGACATTGGTCGATTTCACTCTTTAAATTTCAAGTTGCTATTCCTTGAAGATTAAAAGCTTGTCGTGTTGTGTGTAATGCTCCAACCTTGTTAATTGCATAGATATTGTGCCTTATCCTTGACTTCGTATATTTTTCCTATCATGTTAATTGGTATGTTCCAATCATGTTAAACTACATTGATAATGTAATTCTCGTAATTCATATCCAAGTATCCTTCTTGTAGTGTGAATTGAATTATTCCAATCTTGTTAATTATATTAATAATGCAATTCACGTTAACCTATGTTCAAGTATCCTTCTTGTCGTGTTTTTTGGATTATCTCAACCTTGATTCGTTTCATATATGTATATATATATCATGATTCTTGTTGATTATACTCTAAGATAGCTTAGGATGAACCCTAAGTCTAACTTTAATGTAGATGCTAGGTTCAATATGCTATTTTTTCCTTATAACATGTAAAGTGTACTTAGATACACTATTTGTGACCTATTTAATATGTATGACATGAGGCCAAAGGACACAAACTTTAAAGTTCAAGTGTATGTATCTAAACATCAAGTTTTGCCTTTGAAATGTAACTTTTCTAACCTTAGAGGTTTGGCATGTCAAATCTTGTAAATGGAATGTAACGAGGCTGTAGGCCATTGTAGCATGTTTAAAATGTCATATTACACTTGCATGTATGTTCACATCATCACACATTAGCAAATAATGTAAATTAATCATGCCATGAGGGATTCATATAAGACTTAGGGTTTTTTCTTCATTTTGGTGCATAACAGGTTCATATGCACATTTTTTACCAGTTTCGGTCAACCGGTGGCTTATTTCAATCAATCGAACCCCTTTTTGGATTTTAATTGTTCAGTAAAAACTCCAATTCCAGTAGCCATTTTCTTTATTTGAGGCTCATTTCGGTCGACCGGTTTTCTACTTCGGTCAACCGAAGCACCTTTTTAGTCTTAGAGCCACAAACCGGTCGACCGGTTTGTCATTTCAGTCGACCGAACTAAAGGCTCATTTCCCCTTTTTTTTTTCCTGGTTCATTTTGGCAGACCGAAGCTCCATTTCGATCGACCGAAATGGAGTTGCCTTGTGGGTCTTGTTTGGTTTGTTGCCTAAATAGGTTAACCTTGTTTCATTCGTTCCCACTTGACCTTGTTGATCTTGTTCAAGCCATTTAATGGTGTACGTGGTCTAGTTTGAACTAGATCTTGTTCCTTGGGTGTCATTGGTGCCATAGGGTACCTTTGACCTTTTTATCCTAGTTTTCACTTCCGGTTATCTCCTTGAGTTCCGTGACTTCATAGAAGGTCACATTTGCGTCTAAAAGATGATCTATACCTCTTAAGACTTTAGTTTATCTTTTGCTTCCGTATTTATTTCCTTTGGGTTCCGTGACCTCATAGAAGGTCATCTTAGGGTCTTAGAGGTGTGTTATGCCTCAGGAGACCATTGTCTTGTTTCTTGCTTCTGCATCTTGGATCCGGTTCGGGTCATCACAGGACACACTGGGTTGAAAAATCTAGGGTCGTTAGAGTGAATGAGTGAAATCTCGTGAGGTTTTCTAGAAATGATACCCACAAACATTAAGCTCATTTTCATAAAAGAGGCACTAATATTCCGAACAAGCATTGGGAGAAAACTACCTCAAGTATGCAATTTTTCAATCATTTTCAAGCAATCTCCCAAAATCTCAACATCAAGCAAGCAAGTATGGTCCTCCACACATTAAGAAATTGATCATGCAAATCAAAACAACTCTAGAATTCTTTTAAGTGACCCAGGATCAAATATGTTACTATCTAAGCCAACTAAAGAAATGATTATATCCTTATCCTCAAACTAGCACACAAATCTAATACCGATCATTAAGACAAAGAGTGAACCTTTTATTAAAACTTTATTCAACTAGGTGCACTTATTCTTTTTACTCAATTTTTATTTTATTTTATTTTATTTTATTTTATTTTATTTTTAATCCCTAAGGATCAAAGATGGAAACATAGTGCAATGTTTCGATCTATTAAGCTTTCTAGCAATTTATAAGGTCGAGCGTTAGGTCAATGACTCCCAAACCGGACGGCTTTAGGGTATTAGGTGTTTAAATACCCTTAAGGACTTACAAACTCAAATCAACTAGGGTACAAACCAGAACTACTTCCATCTAATCATTTCCCACTTCTCACTTTTTGGGAGAAGTCACTTTTTTATTTACTTTTGCAACTTCTTCTTTTTTTTTCTTTTTTATTTTTATTTTAGCATTAACCTAGAGTTTGGGCCCTCAACCTTTCGGCGTGAGAAATTCAATGCTTAATGAGGCTAGAATCCTGACTACTTAGTGAAAAGGAGTTGTTATCCACCTTTATCAAGAATGAAAGCTTTCAATGCACTACTAGCTCAATTGGGATATAACCAAATCAATAATCAACAAAGCATGTACCCCATAAACAAATACTAGTGTGCACTTGTGCTAGTGTAGAATTTTAGAGTGAATCTCAAAACAATTACAAAATTAAGATGATGTGGACCACAAATGCAAGCATTGTATCAATCTTTCAAAAAATTTACTCCTAAATGGCATCCACAAGGCATACAAGGAGTATTGGACTCTTGAGTTAAATAATTATTGAATTCTAAGCAATATAGTTCTCGAAAGATCAAAATCATAGCTAGTCATGGATCTCCAATCTCAATCATGCATTTAAAACTCAACTTTAAATAGAATGGAACTAGGACACCTTACCCCCAAACTCAAACCCCACATTATCCTCAATGTGCAATGAGAACAATGAAAAAGATGGAAAGAATATACTGTGGTAGCAAAGACACGAAGCCCGATAGTGATCCATTGGGAAAAAGTGCACCCCCAAACTTAGAATCAATAAATATAATACCCCAAATTTTAAAAGGACAGTCTCGGTAGTTTATTTTATGATTTTATTGTAATTTTTGCATTTTTATGTGTTTTTTGGCTATTTGCTTGGTTGTTTTAATTGTTAATTAATTGAGTTAACTACAGTATTTATTTTATTTAATTGTTTATTTATTTTTTATTTATTATTATAATTTTAGGGTTTGATATGTTTCACGGGTTAGCCGACTAGTATATTTAGTTTAGGTTTCTGTATCGTATTATAAATTAGAATTAGGTTTTCCTTAAACCTATATAAATATATCATTAGACGTCGGCTTAAGGTTTAGAAATCAAAAACTCTGTTCACGTATACAGAGAGACGGAGAGAAACAGAGAGAAATAGAGGGAACTAGTTAGTGTCTCGGCTATGGATTAAAGGTTCAACTAGGGTAAGAAGGAATGAGTGTGGTTCGTGGTTGGAATCAAGGGCAATAGAGGAGTCGGGAACAGTAGGAACCGCCGGAAAACTTAGGAAGACAACGCTAAAATTTTGAACCGAAATCTTGCAGGCAAGTTCTGTTCCTAACTCTCTTCCTTTGACTCGTGTTCTTTACAGGCCTAACACAACTCCAAGGGTAGATGAACACTAAAATTGAACTGGTTCACATGTTTGTGTGATTTTAAGCAGCATGTGTTTATGAACTGTTACTTGCTTGTTTTATTTTTTTTCTTCCATAACTCGTGATTTAATTGATGATAATTGATGAATAAAGCATTTAATTAGTTCTGGAAAACTTGGGGAAACATTAAAATCAATCTAGTTCGCATTGTTGATTACTTGAACTAGTACGTGTTCATGAATGAGTAATTGCTCGTTCTGAATTCTTTTTGCATAATTCATGTTTCGATAGATGTCGGTGAATGAATAAAGAATTAAATTGTTTCTGGAAAACACTGGAATCTAGTTCAGACACATAGGATGTGATACCCCTCGGATCCGAGACATAGGTTGATCAGGCCCAAGCCCAAACCCAAGGGAAATATCCAACAATTAATATTTAAATGAACACAGAATACAAAATAAATTAAGAAATAAATAATTAAAGGCTGAAAGAATTCTAAACTAAAAATCCTTAAAATTTAAATATTTAAAATCCAATAATCCAAAACCTCTATTAATTTAACAACTCGGGAATCCATTTAGTGGACCCCTATCAAATATCTCAAACTGAAAAGGAAATAACTAAAATAAAATCTAAAGCTAAATATAGAAAGTAGTCCTACGTAGTCGGAGGAATGAGTGTCTGTATCTGCTCTGTACGACCAAGCTCTAACCCTGGAACTGACAAGCACCTGAAAAATAAGAGAGTGGGTTAGGCCCACATGCAAGTCCTATTCTACTACGATCCATATAGAAACCCGATACGCAGATACATCCTAGATAGCTCAACAATAACTAGAGTAGTCCATATATGTATAAGTACACACTATAGGACGCTCACTGGTCCAATAGGTCTGTCTCAGCCTGAGTAAAGATACCATGCAAATCGCACATAACGTGGTTATGTGAACCTAGACCTACCAGAGAACAGCAGTTACTGTCCAGATATCCATCCTAGGCGATATACGCACCCTAACCATGGTCCTAAGACTCAAGCTCATACCATGGCACCATAACATAAATATATAAAGTCCGTATATTCCTAATACAAAATATCATCGATCTGGTATAGTGGCCTGATATATGTATAACAATCCATCTAGAAACCAAAGTATGTCATTCAATTATTTTATGACATGACACAATTATGAGTTGGACTTAACCTTTATGGTTAATCCATACCTCAATCCAGATTAGGTAGGACTTAATATTTGAACTAATCCATCCCTAGTATGCCACCGTCCCATACCGGTGCGTACAATCCTACAAATAGCATAGTTGATAAAACAACACTAGGTATTCATCAACCATTCTCCAAAATATGCATCCATATACACTAATACATATATATCAATATTAGGCATTCATTATAGAGCCTAAAAACTCATATTCCAACAATGTAAACTACTAAAATAAATATAAGCATTTACATCCACCAAATTGCCCATAAATTGATGTAGTTAAATAGCAAATACGTATCAATTTATTCTAAATCAAGCATAGTTAATTTCAAGTGATTCACTATACTTCTATCTCTGTTTAAATATGATTAATAGTATTAAAATGATATATACAATAACCTCCAAGTTCCAGTATGTAAGTTGATTAACAATCAAAGTGCAACATGTAGGATTTTTCCCTAAGTTCTCCATATCCAGTCCTTAATCCATTTATGAATTATTATTCCCCTATATTTTTACAAGTCTATGACAATCATAAACATCATTTAACACAACTTAAACGAAGTAAAAATACCCTGCACAGTCCAAACAGCGCCATAACATTCAACTTTACGCAATTCTGGGCAAGAGCAGGTTCTCACAAGTTGAGAGCCTGGTCCTTTGGCATGGGAGCCAGCTCCCTAACTTAGGGAGCCTACTCTAAGCAGTTAGGAGCCACCGCCACACCCCTTGGAGCCGGCTCCATTGATGAGGGAGCTGGCTCCCTCCTTTTGGGAGCCCTCTCTCTCTCTCTAAAGCCTTTCTGCGATTTCTGCTTCGTTTTCCTCGCCTTCGGCGATACCCAGGCCTCTTTAATTCTTTTAAAAACTTCTTTAAATGTTTAATCAATGTCCTAGAACAATTATAAAGCATCGACATGTATCAACGACATTAATTAAACTAAGCTTAAACTCAAATAGAGCATGCATTAGTTAACAGAACTGTAAGACCTTGCAACCCAGTTTAATTCAACAAAATTAAATATAGTTATAAGATGCATAAATGACTTGTTTTAACATTAATTAAACCCCAGGAGTCTACCTAGGCAAGCACAGAACACAGGTTTAGGGGAAAGAGTTAGAACAAGACTTGCCTCTGATTTCAGTTTAGAAATCTTAAACCTCTCTCTATAAGTTTTCTGACCACTTCCTAGACTGTCGTTCCACTCCTCTGATGCTCTTGGTTCAACCCAGAAGCACTCCGTCCCATCCTCATTAAAACTCTCTGTCTATCTCTCAAATTTCCCTCTCTGCCTCTCAATACTCTCTGTTCGTGGTTTATGTTGTAAACCCTAGACAGACATCATATATATATATATATATATATATATATATATATAGTCGTCTCTGAAAACCCTAGTCCACTTAGAATTAGAGATTGAAAACCCTAAGTTAAATTCTAGTCGGCTATAACGTGAAACATAACAGAATAACACAATCCTAATTAAATCCAATTAACTTATTTAAATACTTAAACAATTACAATAATTCAATTAAAAACAAATAATAATAAAAGAAAACAATTTAATCAATTAATTCAAGTAATTCAAATAATAACAATTTAATCAATTAATTCAAGTAATTCAAATAATAACAATTAATTCAAATAATTCAAATAAGTCAAATAATAACAATTAATTCAATTAATTCCAACAAACAAGCAATTAAACAATTAACCCAATAAAAATGAAATTAAATAATTAATTAAAATACCAGGACTATCCTTTTAAAATTAGGGGTATTATATTCTTCACCTTAACAAAAGGAATTCGGTCCTCGGAATTCGCTCTTACCTTCTTCCAATATTTCAGAAAACTACGAGCGAATGACATCCTCCCATTCCCAAGTAGACTCAGCCTCATTGTGATGACTCTACTGAACACGCACCAAAGGAATAACCTTATTACGAAGGATTTGATCCCGTCGATCGACAATCCAACACGGTGGCTCCAAATATGTTGCATCTGGCTGTAACTCAATCTCCCCAACATTGATATACTAATACCGATCCTCATCTTGCAGAAATTTCCGCAACATGGAAATATGAAACACATTATGTACACGATCAAAATTATCTGGAAGTGCCAACTAATAAGCGACAACTCCAACTCGATCTATAACTATGAATGGACCGACAAACCGCGGTGACAACTTCCCTTTCTTCCCAAAGCGTATTACTCCTTTCACACTTTGAATAAAACTTGATCCCCAACCTGAAACTCCAATGCATGAGTACGACGATCTGTGTAACTCTTCTGCCTACTCTAGGTAGTGCGCATGCAATCCCTAATAAGAGAGATCTTCTCAGAAGTATCCTTAATGAACTCAGGACCCAAAAATCTGCTCTCTCCAACCTCCATCCAACAAACAGGCGATCGACATAGTCGACCGTATAATGCCTCAAATGGTGCCTATAATACCCCTAATTTTAAAAGGATGGTCCTAGTATTTTAATTATTTAATTGCATTTTTAGTACTTTTATTGTGTATTTGCTTGTTATTTGAATTAATTGGGTATTTAATTATATTTGTTTGTTTAATTAATTGTATTTGTTTGTTAATTGGTTGTGATTTGATTAATTGTAAAATTATTTGTTTTATTGTTAATTATTTGTTTAATTGAATTTAATTAGTGTAATGGTTAATTTAAATGGAATAAATGGCATTATTTGGATTAAGTTAGGATGGTTAATTAATTAGGATTTTAGTCAGTTACGGTTCTGTATTAGCTGACTTAGTTTACGGATTGAATTGTTTTCTTTTCCTTCTCATATCATAGTTAGAATTAGGGTTGTATGTTTCTAAGCCTATAAATATATCATTAAGGTGGTTTAGGGTTTTAAGAACATTACACAGAAACATAACCTAAAGTTTGTTCACGTAAGAGAGGGTTGAAAGAATAGAGACACAATTAGGGCTACCAAGGAGGAAAATAGAGAAGACCAATGAGGTGTTGTGGTGGATTAAAATAGAACAATAGGAGGCTTGATGGTATTCAGAAATTACCGGAAACGTATAGACGACGCCAAGATTTCATAACTGAAATCACAGGCAAGTTCTTTTCTTTCTCTCTCCCGTTGGCCTATATTCTGTGCACCTAGATAGTCTCTAGAAGTTTAATTGGACATTAATTAAATCTTGCATGTTTGTTATATGTTAGATTGATCGTATAAATGTGTTGAATTTAATCTGTCATGGTGCTTGCAAGTCTGCATTTCAGTTTGGTCTTTATGCATGTTAAATCAGTAGCGGCTCTAATCACTATAATTAATTCCAACTATTTTAATTAAACCATTGGGATGCTACTTGGATTAAATAAGACACTTAGGTTCAATATTAAAGAGGAACAGAAGGGTTGGAATGGCCGGAGACGAAGCAGATGGTCAGAAACGGAGCATAACTGGACTGGAGGCTCTCAAAGAGGGAGAGAGCCGGCTCCATGGAAGTGGGAGCCGGCTTCCACACCCTTAGAGCTGGCTCCAAGAGTCATGGAGCTGGCTCGATGCATAAAAGATCCAGCTCCCAAAGTATGGAGCAAGCTCTCTCAATTTTGCCTTTTCTGAAGGTTTTTTACGCACTATTTTGAGACTGTTTGAGGGTTGAACTGCTCTGAATGCTTCTGGGATTTCACAGAGGGATTAAGAAGTTAATTTTGGATGTTATCAAGACCTTTAATTGATTAAAGTTTACCCCTAAGTTAATGGGACAAACAGTATAAAATTAATGCACTAGGGATGCTATTGATGAGCACTGAAGAATGAATATTAAAACCCCTTAAGCTTAGGCATTCTAGTACCTTTATCTATTTTACTTTACCGTTTTAGATTGATTTCGTATTATTTGTCATTTTCAAGCACTTATCCCAAAAATAAGCTAACTCAGCCAAATAATAGTAGAAATGAAGCAATTCTGGGATGAATCAAATAAATGAGCCAAGTGGAAGCAAAAGGAAGAAAAAAGGTGGAAATCAACATCTTCGATCGATCTCAGATCAAAGTTCGATTGATCCAACATGATCGATCTCAGCACTTCAAGATGGATCAGAGCCATGATGACATTTTCAGATATCTTAAAAGTTCGATTGATCCAACATCATTCTTCGATCGATTGAACTACCTTGTCCTTATCCAAATGATTGATCTTATCTAGTTGTACCACCTTACCAACCACTTTTGTCCTTTTCTCAAAAATATCTTCAAAATATCTCAGATTTTTTTTTTTATCCTAAAAGCGCCGCCATTGAGGATCGATCCAACCTAAGTTCGATAGATCTCAACCATGTTCGATCGATCCAAGTCCAAGGTTTGATCGATCGAACTTCCTCCAATGCGAAAAAGTTAAATTTCCAGCTCACAAAAAGTTGTCCTTTATCCAATCATTGGGAAATATTTGATGTACGACCCTAGCTTATTTTGGGTGTCATTTGACCTACTTATATAAGGATAAGGATTACTTTTTACATCAAATCACATC